ATGCATTTTCATGTGCATCAAATTCAAGATGGATTTTCTTTATGATTGCCTTAGAGAAAAATAAAACCTCCACATTTAAACCCTAAACTTTATGCTTTGTGTATCCAGAATAGCCTGATTTAATGGTAAACTGCTGTTCAATCAGCATTTAGAGTAAAAAAAATACTTTTTGAAAACACTGAATACCAGTTTACACTAGAGCAGTGAATAACATTTAAGTCACCACAAGTGTGACTTGAGAATCTTGTGACAAAGAAAACCTAGAAAAGATCTTACTAAGCCCTAATTCAGCATCAGAACTGAAGTTTAAACTTAAAAAAAATAAAATCACAAAGAGCTTGGGTAAATCAATACACATAATTGACTGGGAGCTGAGCTGGCATAGCTTCTGTGAAAGCAGAAATTATGTCCCTTTTCCTAGGGTTTTCAAAAACAGTTTAATTCAAATGCTAAAGGAAGGCATACATTTCATGATATTTTGATAAGTCACTCATAAAATATTTGCAAAGACAGACAGAACTCATTCTTGAACACGACTTTTAAGATCACCTTCAACCAGCTGACTGCAAGGTCCCCCTTCAACCCATTAACCCAAATTTAACACAATTATTTTGGAATGGCCTTTCAATAAATGCAACAGACATCAAATAAAGAATGGATTTTGAAGATTCCAGGTTACATTACGTGAAAAGACAGAGCTCTCTCCCTCTTTCAAAGTGGCTCAGACCACTTGCTTGGTTATTCCAACAGCCCAAAGACAGCCCAGGATTTGTACGTGACCTCAAATAGACAAGGGATGAGGCCTTCAGGTCAGTCACTTCTCTGCTCAGATGGATCTTGTGCCATTTGGTTCATTAGAGAAAAAAACGAACACAACAAAACTAGGAAGCCAACAAACTTCCCTTGAGAAAGGGAGCCTCTTAACTATGAAATTAAATATTTTTAGCAATAAGGATACAGAGTGTATAGCCAAAATCTTTCCTGCAATGTGTTGATTAACCACTTCATTTCTGGTATCTGTTGAAAAACCTCCTGTTTTTCAAGTTTCTCCACTTCATCAGCCAGATTTCTGACATTTTTTACTCTTCTTTCCAACCACATAAAATACTTTCATGCCCAATTAGCAGTTCTTCCCATAAGTGGATAAATAAGCAGTTTTATCTGTTTTAGTGATAAAAACTGGCACTTAAGTGTACCAGACAGTACACTAAATCCTTTCTAAGCTGACTAATTTCAAGCTTTTTCTTAAGAGGCTTGGACAGCTTTGCTGGGATTGTGAAACTATGGTTACTATGCAAGCCTAACACTTAAATCCAACCTCTTCAAGGAATTCTTCATACCATTGACAATTCACAGACATGCAACCCATCTGTAGTACTTTCTTCATGCCATCCTTACATCTGGACAGGTAGTCCAAACTGGAGAAAGAGCCAGCGTGGCCTCTGAGCTGTCTCAGTACTGAGGAAGGAATTGCCCTCTGAGAGCAGGAGGTGAACAGGATGAAAGGCAGAGTTGCCAGTGAGGTTCAGAGAAGAAATGCAAGGCTTGGCCAGCCTGGGCAGGTTGCTCCCTCAGCAAGCGCATGCTATTGAACAGTGTGTGCCAGCGTTGCGAAGGCAGATTGAATAACTAGTACAAATAGATGGATAGAACTTCTGTTTTGCATCCATAAAATAATTATATGCAATTTGAATTCAGAAACATAGCGAATCATAGCTGCTTCAAGCCACTGTTATTGCTTACTTTTGCAATACATGTAAAATTGCTTAAATTAACAGAACACAACCCTTACTGGCTATGTAACATTTTACTGAGTAATTACAACTTCCAGACATGATACAGAATGTACTGAATTCAAGTATAATTACAAAACAAAGAACATATGCAGGTAAGTATTCCAATGTCTACACCTCATAAATCAAAATGACTTCCCCATACTAATATGGAGTAACCAAGACACAGAATGAAAAAGCCAACACACCAAAATGCAAGGCGCAGGGTAGGGAAGGGGCTGGTGAATCCGATTAAAAGGCTGCATGGAAAAATAGATCTTGACTTTGAGATTGCCCCTTGAAAGTTCTACCACAAGTGAAAAATCCTCACTGTTGACTTTGAAATTTAATACCATCTTGGCAATGGCCAAAATGCTTTCCAAATGCTTTAGGCATTTTTCGAACACTTCTCACACAGTTCTTCAGCGTATTTCATTTGAAGAGAAACTTACAAAATCCCTTTTTTACTACATCATTTATACATCATTGCTTTTTTTTTTTCTTCTGACTTCAGATTTGAAGCAGCTGATCAAAACCTCTAAAGTTTTAAACAGTCTAAACTTAGATTACAAAAACCAAACTTATGCTAGATTATGGACCAGCATTCCACTATTTTAACAGGCACCTCCTCCCCAGAACAGAACTATTAATGCTGGCTATACAAAAATTTGACTGGGCTTACTGTTAGTGCAACACTTGTAAAAAGTAACCACGACCTTTTATTTTAATTGGTGGCTTTGATTTACACAGGAAAAAATATGTCCACAAGTGCCCCACATAATACAGAGTATTTTCTGTTCATCTATTATAATGTCCTGTAGTGTCTGTGTTATTTAAAACACATACATCCTTTTCACATTACATTTTGAATGTTTTATCTCCTTTTCAGAATGTGATTTAATTAGAAATCTTGCTTATCCACAGACATCTCAGCAAATTGAAATATACAGACTCATGGATTCATCAATGACTACAGTCCACTGCAAGAATTCTGTAGACCTTAGAACAGAGCACTTCTTTTTCCTCAGCACATTCAGTATGGTGCTTCAGTCATCTTCTGTCTAAAAGAATCAGTTAATTTTCTTTTTCATTCACTCCAGCTCCCGCTTCCACAAGAAACATTACTCACTCTCCACTTCCCAAACACATACCTCACCAAAAAAAACGAGATTACAACATCACCCTTAGCATTTTTCAGTGGACCAACAGGCTACCTGCAAGGCTGTACACCATATCAGGACATAGTTAGATAGAGGCTCTGATTTTCAGTACAGGAATAAAAAGTTTTTGCTGGCAGAATTACCCAACTATCAGAATACTGGTAAAAGAAAGAAAACATCATCCTACCTAGTTTTGTGCATTCTAATAAAATATAATTTCTTACTGTTCTTTACTTCTCCAATCATTATTTCTTATTTCTGGACAAGTTTTCTAGATGATTTTCATCCTTTCCTATTTCCAAGTGCTCAATGTCTCGGGTCTTTTCCTTCCTTGTATTCTTCTTATCATATACCTTTAGTTTAATTTCTTTTGCTTCAGCAAAGCCTGACTGACTGCAGTTTCTATAGGCCATACATCCAACCTAGAGCATCCGTTTTATTTTCCTCAAAGGACATACATTTCAAAAATTGAACTATTGTGCTTTAGAGCCTGGATTCCTATTTCTGTTTTTTATGTAATATAGCCTACTTTTGATCTTAATGATTTGTGTCTCACTAACAAGAAAGGAAAAACTACTTAAGCTACACAAACCCTCTATTAAAAAAAAATATTTTTGGTACATCTCAACTTCTCATTTACATTATGCAGGTAAACTGCAAGAGAGATAGATGTCAGTGGTACTCTCTATTCAGAGCCAACAAAAAGAACAGAAGCAGCACAATACTTAAGCTAGAAGGAAAAAAAAGCACACTGTTATTTTATATTCACTTTTGTAAGCCTTTAGGTATGCACAAGGGCAAGTTTTGTACAGAAGTCAATATTCATCAATTGTTCTACCATGCCAAAATGCCTCAAGAACATACGGCCATAAAAGGAAACACTTTTTTTTCAAATCTTATATATGGTGCTCTGGTTTCCTCTATAAGGAAAATGTCTAAGTCAAGCTCAGAAAAAGGATTACATCATTGACAATTTTCAAAAATTGCACATTGTCTTTGAATAGACAATGGCATAAAATCTCTTTGAATGAAGACTGTATTTGATGTACTCATCACTATTAGAGGTATTCTATAATGCATATCTTTTTCTTTGTAATAGAGAAAAGAAAAAGCAGCCAAAATTATTACATATAAAGAGGACACAGGACTGCAATTAATATATAACTTAGACAAAACATACCTAAAAACATTCCTGTACTCTCCTTTACCAAAGAGGGGGCAGTAGAAATCTCTCAAAAACTGAGTCTCCAGATACAGCTGAAAAAGCTGCACCTTATAGAACCAGAAAACTTGGTTTTGGTTAACATGGTTTGTAGCTTTCAGAACAGTAATCACTATTCTCAACTATTAATGAACAAGAAGTACAGTACAAAATTCACAGACCAAGAGTAGAATTTAGCCCTACTTTTAAAAATATAAGATGTTCATAATGGCTTCTTCCTCTAAGAGTCACTTCAAAAAAAGCAATAAAATCTGTGTGGGAATTCAAGGAAGGAAAAAATAAGAGTCTAAAAAGCCTTCAGTTCAAGGATATGTCACAGGGAATAAAGGATGCAAACTTGTCCTTAAGAAATGTGTTCCCCTCACTAATTCTGGACCAGAATACAAACCACCAAACAGTTCCTGCAATAAAGTAATCCACTGGGGTATTTACTACTACCACTGTATCCTTAATAAATACTTGAAAAGTGGAGGGAGAAAGGGACACCACATAAAATGCTGAATTCCAGTGTATAATGAAGACAACTTAGACTTGAAGTTCATCGTTGGGGGAAAGATAATCACTTCCAAATTTTATCTTTTACAGAAAAAGATATTTTACAGAAAAACATTATTAGTATCCAGCCAACTCGGACTTAAAATACATTAAGATCATTCAGCATATTGGAACACTAAGACAAGTTTTTTGACCATTGCAAGTTTTACAGAATTGTGAGTCACTGCACAGCATTGTAAGAAGTCTTCCACAAAGCAGAGAGGGCAGCCATACTTTGAACACAATTTGAAAAAAATAGAACCTGCAAGGCCAGTGTACAGGAATAAATTATTTTAAAACACCACACCTTAATTGAAAAAATCCTAGAATATAACTTTATTGTTAGGTAAATCCTCACTTCTTTTCCTTAATATCAGTAAAAAAAATAATTTTGTAATTGCATTTGTGATAAAGAAAAATTCACTCCTCCACACATGTACATTTCTTCAATCTGAGGACTCTATCATGTAAATACAAATGTATTAGCTAATCATTTTCCCCAAAAACATTAAAAGAAAAGTAAACTAAGTAGTGGACCCACATTACCTCAAGGTTTTGACTATAAAGACAGTTAAAGAAAAAAAGCAGTAAAAATGTCACATCTGTTAAAAACAATTTGCAAATTATAACATAAATTAAAATGTAACAGCTTGGAATTACTATGCCTTTCCAACCTGGCAGGCTCAACGAATCAGTTCTTCCATCCAACTGCATGACATGTAAACTTACAAGGTACTGCCAAAACCAGACTGCCTGCCTTTTTGTAGTACATCACCATCCAGGTCACTAAAAAAAGCAACTGTGTCCTCAGACTGGTCAACAGTAATGTACCCAAAACATTCAAGTCCTGGCATCTTGAATTTAACATATTGTGATGCTATAATCAGTAAAGTAACTGGGAGACAAGGAATTCAATTCTATCTTGGAATATAAACAAAAGGTACAGGTGAGTATTTTTCTGACTCAAGGAAACTAAGATCAGAATTCAGATTAATTACATCTCCAATTAATAAAAAAACACTCTATAGGCTTTTGGAGCAGATGCCCTGTAAGAATATAAGCTCATACCTTTTGAAAATGATACAGGAACACTTTGCTATTGAGATAACGTTTACTAACCTTGCAGGGAAAGTTCTTCCCTGCAAAGTGCACACTGACACTATTCATTCATCAGTAACTCCAGCATGCAAAACACTTGGATAACATTGGCTGTCTTCACTAACCTCTGCAGGAAGAACATTTTCCCAGTTTTACTTCCCTTCAGGTTTTTGATTTCTGAAATAACTGGTTTATTAATGTGTTTATACAAATTCAAAATCCATATAAATATTCTAGGGAGAAGAAACATGTTATGCGTTACCAGATTCCAGTGCTCTTCATGAATAAGACTAATACCAGGAGAGTGCATACTGAGATGAGATGAATTTTACATAGAAGGGCGAGGAGAAAGGTAAATTATTTATAATGTGCTAAAATATGCCTTATTTATTTGATATGGAAGACTTCCAAATTACCTTTAAACTGCATTTTAAATCATCAGGCTTAAATATACTAACTAGTTTTACAATAGGAGAAAACTAAATAAAGTAAGCCTTCCTTTGAATTAGCCATAATAAGGTAATATGCTATAAAGAAGCCACCAATGAACAGACATTATGGAAAAGGGTACCGAGGAGATCCTTTCACCCACAATTACTGTATGTGAAGCCCCATCTGTAACTTAACTTTGGAATGTTTTTCTGCTTAAAATGACCAGCATGCAAAGTGCTTTGCAGTTGTCAAAAAGGCATGTTATTTTAAATTCTCATTGTTCACTGGTGACAGCTAGTATGAAAAAAAAAATATTCTAAAATACTTTTAGTCAAATCTGGGCATATTGGTCTCCACAATTATTTGCTGCAATGCTTATAATATAATCTTACATTGATTTTTGAAGACTTATGTTTCACATCAACATTTCCTCTTGCAGCAATTCAGCCATTAATCAGCAACTGAGTTACTAGAATGGCTTATTACCACCTGTCACCCACAAGCAAATCTTATTTTACATTAAAGTGCATAAAGAATTTTCCTCAGTGCTATTTAAATATGGTTATTTCACTTATATTTCCACTTGCATGTTCAGTACTCATGGCCTTATTAATAATAAAGGCTGGGTCTTACAGAATCTGGTACAACTTGAGTACCTACTGCAGAAAGCCTTGAGACAATTGAACACAGTTCTAGAATTTCACATTTCAAAGTTATAAACTAATCACTTATCTCTGGATTGTTGAGAACCACCGGATAGAATTACTCTACTTCCCCAAACAAGCAAGGTCAAGTTATCAAAAAATTCAGAGTAAGTGGTTTTGAATTCAGGTAATATCTAAAGGCAAATAAATTAAAAATGCAATGTATTCATTAGTTTAATCATAAATAGATCATTTTTTACTATTATATATTCCAGCTACATCTCTCACATCTTCCAGCAAAGACCATATCTGGCAATAGAGTCTATTAAAATATAAAAAGCCAAAAATGCCAGGTAACTTTTAATAAGCACTACCATAAATATCTCCCATATTACATCTGAAGATACTTACAAATAAGAAAACAAGTGTCAAAGTAGGGAAAAAAACCAAACAAAATTTAAAGAGAGGAAGTGCACCGAAATTTGTATGCAGAAATTTTTCACAGTAAGTTAATGTACTCTGGCTAAACCCACACAGCTGGCTCCTCTATGGTGAAAAGCCTTGTTTTCCTGAAGTGCAGTTGAAATCATAATGGTGGCAAAAAGCAGGTTTCCATGTCATGGTACTTGAGATAAGGCCAGTGCCCATTTGAAACAATTTATCTCATAGAAAAGAAAAACTGTGAAACAATCACACAGCTGAAATATTAAAATTTAAGATTGGCAGGTTCCACTGGAACAAACTCTTCCTATCTAATCTTAATATCTCCCAAGAACCTTTAGTGATATCTTGAAAGAAACTAAAGAAGTGCAAACAGACGGCAAAGGGACACAAATGGAAAAACTATGTGTGTTGTATAGTTTCAGGCAGCTGTATTTGCCTAATTAAACCTCAAGTTTAAAGTTCTGAATCACAGTAAATATAGTTGGACAGACTCTCCTGTGGAATTTAACTCAAGTAGCTTTTTGAAACTGATTTTGCCATGGAAATTTTTGTCTGCAAGTCTAGCGCTCTTCCAGAAACAGAAGCAGTGCTAACAGTCCAGGACGCCTACAGCAAAGGAAGCAAGGTATGGTGCTGAGGTCACTGCAATCTCAGAAGCTTTTCAGCCCTTTATGTGACTTCTTTCCGTGAGGGCAGCAACCTGAAGATTTCTCCTGTTCAAGTCTACAGTATCTCCAAATCCACATGACGAACATCAGGATTTCGTTGCTGAAATAAAATTTAAAAACAATGTATTGAAAATATTCAAGTACTTTTTGCACATGGTTACAAGTAATGTGTTTCTGGTATGATGTTGTCAACTGGATAACAAATCCCCTTTCTGGGTAACATAGGGACTATTTTAAAATGAGGAAGAGTTTCAATAAACATTGCCCATATTATAAGGCATTTTTAGAAGGCTAAGTCATCTTTTTATTTGAAAAATATTTTTGAGCATCATGGATAAATTAGTTCTTATGCTTTATAAAGTATGGAGGAGCTCTCAATTTTAACAAGTCAGTAGAGTTTTATATAAAACTCTTGAGATACAGGTATATATACATATCTCACTTTCGTAAAGTTTTAACAGATACTTTCCTTAATAACAGGCAAGATTGCTGAAATAATTTGTTCTATGCCACTGAAGCTATTTATAAAGATTCAGAACACTGTTTCTATTAAGAAATATGCATTTTCTGATATTATAGAAATATGTTATCACCATTACATGAATTGTATAATCCATGAGAAAGTCATGACTTCAAAGACATCCAGCAAGTGAACCTGACTAGTATATTTAGTAAAGCATATTCAATACCAACACAATCCTTATATATATATACCTATACCAAAAAGCAGTATCCATGTTTATAAAAAATTTAGGCATGATCCTGCTCCTCAAAAACCACACATGAAGAACTGATTCAGACGGTGCAATTAAAATCAAAAATAATAGTTTGATTCTTAAACAGGATAACCCTAGGGATAGAAACTTAAACTAGAATACTTATGAAATATAACAAGAAGGACAGACATGCTCTTGAGCAGTGTCTCATGGCTAGAAGAGACAGTCAGGGCAGGTCTGCTTTTATCTGGAGATTAGTATACTTGGAGTTCTGAATTCACACCAGGAAGGTAAGACTGACAGGCCCCATATATTTACAAAATTAAATATAGGAACAACCCTTTCTTGCATCAGCTAGAAGATATTCAAATTGCAGAATGAAAAAAAAAAAAAAAATAAGACAGCTGAGAGGCTTTTACAAAGTAAAACACTGTATGGCTTCAACAAGAGTGAAGATTTTGAGTAGCAGTCCCATCACCCAGATATATTTGATAAAATTCTAAGAACCAGTTAAAATAAAAAAACAAAAACAAAACAACAAAAAAACAAAAACACAAAAAAAACCCAAACAGAATTCTGCAGCCAAACAGTTTTTTTGGTTTTTTTGCAGCCAAAACAGAATTCAACAGCCTACAAATAGTCTGACATTCTGAGAATACGTATCTAAAAAATACATATTCAGGTCTACTGAATGAAAATTTCTTCTATGTTGGTATAAAATGGAACAAAAAATGTAACAAATAGATCAGTAGTAAAGTAAGAATTTGCTGGTGGTCAGAACGTAGATAATACTATAGCAAGAAAAACTGCATTTGTAATATCAGCTTCTTTCCCTCTCTCATATTTACAAATAAAATCCCAGAAATTAGATGCAGCAGTATTGTTTAAAATATATCACAGAATAAGCACTCACTAATAAGCAGTTAAATTTACCTTCAGGTCCTTCTCAAGTCTGTCTACTTCAGCACCCAGTGTGTCAACGATATTCTCACCATGCTTAAGCATAAAGGCTTCTAATTCTTCAAGGGTTTTCACTTGCTGAATTTCCTAGGAAGAAGTTAAATTTAAGAGATTGAGATGAGGAAAAGAAAATAAAGGAATAACACTCCAGAGGGTCTTGACATATTTCAAGAGGGAGGAAAAAAAACCTAAACAAAACACTTCAGCTTTTGCCATTTACTCTCAAAACATCATCTGTTCTTGTGTCTCAAAGACACAGAAGAGTAGCATCTATTTGATAAAAACAGCTGGCTCTGTCATTATCACCTGCATTTGACACAAAACCTTCTTCTATCTTTAATTTATTTCCTCCTTAACTTTCTAAATATGTAGATAATTTCATTCATTTTCTAGAAGTTTCTGAGGTATTCCTCACAACAAGGTAGAGCAGAGTATCCCCATGTATTTTTTCTCCATTTTCTACATTCTTGCTGTTTCATTACACTGCCTGGGCATCATATAACCAACTCATCTGAAAGTCCACAAGGATTACAACAAATGTTGCTGTAAATATGACTCCTCCATAATATCAGAAACTTGAAGACGGTTGACAGAACTCAGACTAAGAGACCAACAGCATATGAAACTGAAGGAATGAGATTAAGGAAGACAGGATGTTAAACTCCATCCTCCAAAAAAACACAGACATAAGCAGCAGCAAAGCACGTAATACAGTATTGCCATAGAATCCTACAATATTATGAGTCAGAAAGGGCTTTTAAGATCATGCAGTTGTTCCCCCACTGCCATAGGCAGGGACACTCTCTGCCACACCAGTTACTCAGGGCCCCATCCAACCTGGCCACCACAGTAAAGAATTTTTTTCTTATATCTACTTTATGTCCATCACCGTTCAGTTTAAAGCCATGAGCTTTCCTTAGAGGTCTCACATCAAGCTGCCTGGAAGCCATTTGTCCTGTAGTTTATCTCAGCTGCAGCATGTTTAGGACAAATAGGTTATTTCAAACAGACACAAACTATGAAGCAGCTAATTCTTATTGTACATATGAGTACATGACAGCAACTTCTTTTGCCTTCTCACTACTCTAAAACTGAAGAGGAATAATGTAATTGAGCAAGCTTAAAAATATATCTCAACCACAATAACCCATGACTACAATCATAGCAAGTCTAACAAGAAAAAAAACAAGGTAATCTAAATGACAGTATTTCAACAAATATTTCACTACTGTAGAAAGAATAACATTGGCAGCAGTGCTAGTTGAATGAGCTGCTTATTTGAAAAAGTATAGGTCAAAAGGCAAGCACACTGCTTTTGACTTCGGATGCCTGAAGCCTACTGCAAGGAGCCATCCTTCAATGATGGTTTTATAGCTGACATGAGCTCACTACATGAAACAAAATGACCTGTGTAATAAACAGTTGCCAACCTAGAATCAATCAGGAAGATCTTTCCCAACAATACTTCAAGAACTGGAAGAACTAGTGATGGTTGTACACAACTGCCAAAGGGAATAGCAAGAAAAGAATAAAAGCTAACAAAGCCTTTAAAAGAAGACTAGAGTACTAAAAACTGCAACAGCAAAGCAACTGGCAATATAAAACCAGGCAAACTTGCAGCGCCTCAGTGGTACAGAGCTGGTAGCACTCTTCCTCTCAAAAATGTATTAAATTGAAATCCAGTAGATGAACAGATCAGATATTGCACTCTACATACACATACATAATTCTTATTTTGACATTAACATGTTTTTAAAATTGATTTAATGATTTAAAAATTTCAGTGTAAAATTTAAAAGTAAACGTAACTTCTATGACATGTTTAATGGACAGACAAAATGCAGATATGTGTATTTCATTTTGAAAGGGTAGAAAAGAAATTTTGTACATAAATATACATAAGCAAGGTATCCATGAAAATAAAAACACTGTCTTGTCAAAACATTTTGCTCACCTAAAACTCTCCTTTTATTTTCTTCATACTTCACAGTTCTGCCATATAGAATACAGCAGAGAACAGTTCTGAATTTCTGTGTTGAAAACAGGGTTTAAGAAAAGCTACTCTGAACTATACTGAAATCAAGAGACTGACACTAAAGGATGGTTAATTTTTAAATGTCATCAAAATGCTAAATCATGTGACACAAGCAATCCATATTCACACTGAGCCTGAACAGCTGGAACTGTAAACCCCAACACTGCATCACCAACACCCAGGGCAAATGGCTCTGCCAAAACGGGTGCCTTTTTGCAGGTGACAAGCTTCAAGTTTTAACTGCAGATCTTGTAATTCAATAATGTATTGGAAGAGTTATGTTCACATCAAATTTCATTTTTTTAAGAATCTGTATTTTCTAAGAAAACAATCACAGAATCATAGAATATTCTGAGTTGGAGGGGACACAAGGGTTATTGACTCCATCACTTATATGAATGGCCCATGCAGGGAGCAAACCCACAACCTTACCATTAATAGCACCTGGCTCTGACCACCTGAGTCAATCTCAAGGATAATGAGTTTAAAATAAATCTACTTTCCTCCTTCTCAGGCCAAAAGTAGGTCTTTTTCAGTACCACACAATACAGTTATCTCTAAGTCCATTTAAAACACTAACATAAAGTAACCCTGCAACCCTTCAAATAAAGAGGCGAAATGTATCTCATTCATTTGCAAGTCTTGGGTTTAGAGGTACTTGAAATTAGAAAGTATCAAATAGTGGGGGTTACAAAAGCAATTTTTTACACATACTTGTAGCAGCTGTTCAATGTCTTGTTTTTCCAGGTAAGACCGAGTAACAACACGTCCATCAAAGTCTACTTCTGCCTTAAATCTCACTTTGCTCATTCCCATGTCTGTGGCTTTAACATCATGAATTGCTCTGAAACACACACATTTTTAAAGAAAATGTAAAACAACACAGAACAAACCACTAGTTTATTTGATATCTCACATTAACAATACTGTCACTGCAAAATGATCCTGCAATTTTAAAAGGTCAGTCATTGACAAAATAGCCTCATTTTACCCACCCATTAAATATTTACCCACTTCCATCAAATATTTATTTATGTTTAACCAGTTATATTAATTCCACAGGTCTCTGCAACACCAACACATCTATAAATCATTGCAATAAAAGACAGACAACTAGAAACATCACAGATTTAGAACTAGACTAACAGTCTATTAAAAAAAATCCACAATTAAAAATGTGAGAACTTCCCCATTCTATGTTAAAAGTTGAAGTCCAACTTTTCTTCCACTGCTGAGAAGTTTTTGTGCATATACATGACGCTATTTAACAGTCTAGTATCCTAAATTCTAAGGAAAGGAACAATAATCTGTTGTTAATCAATGAAAGGACACGTTGCAATTATAGAAGTGTCCTTTCCTGACATTGGCAGAGGCATGATCTTCTGGAGATTTTTCAAAAATACATTTGACATAAGTTATGGATATTTTGTTTGATATGTAAATAATTTTTGATCCTTCAGCACTATTAATCATAGCTTATCAAAATACACCTGTTTGTAAATGCTGAAAATGTATATTTATTTAAAGGCTCCTAATAAATACTAGAAAATGAAAGCTCTAATGTTTATATTTTGGTCCTTTGAAAAATTCTGGGTTTCTGTAGCAGGGTTTTGTTTCTTGTTGGACAAATTCTAGTATGTGAATATAGGTAGTAAACAACAAGCTTTAAATTTTTTCTGGTATAAGAAGCAAACTCAGGACCAAGATATACTGTGATGAATTTCAAAAGTGATATAAACACAAAATAAAATACTTGATTTTTTTTCATAATTATACAAACAAAAACTCAGTTTATCTTCAAAGCCAAGAAAATTCAAAATTGCCACTGCAGAGTAAGTTTCCACATTTTTCCATCACGGTCAGAAAAGATAAGTTGATTTTAAAACATGGGACACTAATCACAAGAGGTTCACATTTTTTAGATTCTTGCTTCTGGCATTTTCAAAGTAAAACAAGTATAAAAGATTTGAAACACTAAGTTTTATTAACAGAAAAATGCATTCTTGGCTATTTGGTAAATTCTAACACAAAATTTAGAATGTAGCAACGCAGTATTGCAGCAATTCAGCAATACCTCCATTTATTTTTGTAAATTGTGCAATTTCATAGAATCTGCAAATTTAGCATGCCCTTTGTCTTAAGCAAATTTACCCTTCCCAACTAGAAATGCTTCTTTGCATCTGAATGTTGATAAATCAGAATAAACTTCACAGGCAGTCCAGGAAGAAAGCAAAAGACATGTATGTAGGGAGGAGCCTGTTAGAATGAACAGCCAAAAAAGAACAGGAGACAGGAACTTTAAGATGAACAATCACAGGAAATTTTTACTTCTCATAATATTAAGGTTGGAGGAGAGGAAGCATATTAAAAAATAAATAGAACATTAACTAAATATAGAGACACCAAAATATACATCTTAGTAAATATTTAAGCAGATTAAAAGAACTATCAGCTTACTCGTATCAATAAAGACTTTCCAGCTCCATTCCAATTCACACAACTATTCTGTGGGAAGTTATCAAATCAAAACAGTATTAATTGGAGTAAAGTAGATGGCATCAAACTACCTCATCCCAAAGAAGGTATTTAAGATAACATGTGGTTAATAAAGAGAATTTGGAGCCATGTGATTCAAAAATGTTGAAGACATATCAAGTGCTTATCAGAACTAAGCAAGAACAAGTAATATTTGAGATTTTCATTGAGCAGTAGACTGATAAAATTCAGTGAAATTATGCATATTCTATAAATGTGAAAGAAAACAGTCTACTTTAGTGCATATAATCTGCCCAGGAAAGATAAGACAGTGAGTCAGGAGGAGAAAAATCACTAATCATTCAAAAATATAAACGTGTTAAGGTACAAAGCTTGCTTATGGAAGCTTCTGGATGGTTAGTAGACACCATCAATTCTAACTAGGGAAAAGAGCAAGTTTTAAATCAATGAAAAATTTGTCAGAGAACATCAAGTTACTGGTTTTGAGCAATTAATTTTAATATTTTTGTTTTTCATTTAAATCAGAATGACAGATTTTCCAGCACAACAGAAGCACAACTACACAACAGCTGTTAAAATGAAGTAAAATTAAAGATGAAACTGTCACTAAGAATAGCTTACTCCTAGGAATCTCTGATTGAATTCCATAAGAACAGAATCAGGACAGAGTCTGTACCACATCGCATATTTTATTTCACAGTTATGAAAGGCTAATCTCCCACAGTTCAGTTAAGATGAACACAAGAATGATTTATGCACCAAAGGTGTCAAAGAGAGTTAAGAATTCAATGTTTGTATAGCAAAAATAAAATCAAATAATTTTCCAGCTGAGAACAACTCTGAAAGTCTATTCAGGATCATGAGTTAAATATCGGTTACAACTAGAAATTACTAAGGAAAAAATGAAAATAAAGGGGAATAAAGAGCCATGAGCCTAAAAGAGAAATTACAAAGTCCAACAAGCTGAAAGGAAAAGAAGAAGAAAAGGTCACTGAGTGTGATACAAATCAACTTATTTTTAAGTATATCAAAACCAAAGAGTAACATGGAAACAAGTCTGCTACTAGACAGAAATGGAAAATCGTTACTGATGAAACAGAATAGGAAAAACATACAGTAATTGGCTTCTTGATCTAAAAAAGCAACAAATATTAGTACAACAAAGCATTTGTCTACTAATAGCAGAGAAGCATATTGGATATTTAAATGGAATAAAAATGCTTCTAATCCAACAGGTTCCATAACTTATATTCAAGAGGTAAAAGAACTAAGAATAACTGTAAAGGTGCATTAATTTCTCATCTTGCAATACTGATGATAATTCAACCAAAAATAAACCAAATTAACAACACTGTGCCAAAATTTAAGAGTAAACAAGTCCATCCATTTAAGTGAGGACAACTTCACTTGAGAAGTGAAGGAAAAATAGTGAGAAAGGTAGTGAGAAGAATTCTATATTAAGAACACTAATTCCAGTCATTAAGATTTTAGGGAATATAGGTCTTGTCAAACAATCCTGTTATAAAAAAATATTAAAATATCAAGATTTACTTGAAAAAAATAACACAGAGATTTACTTTAATAGGACAGTAGTTAGCATTGTCTGATAATCAAATACTTCATAATTAGCAGTGGATCATGAAGTTCAGGCAAGCTGCTGCTAGAATAGTAACTTAAGTGGTGGTGCTAACAGGGGCTGAGGGAGTAGATATCAGAGCTCCTGAATCCTCTTGTCAATTTGGATCTAAAATACCTTCTGATGAATACTAAATGATTCCCTAATATATCACCTTCTGATTTGGCAAAACACATCTAAAAATAAACATTGCAAACAATGTCTGAAAGAACAAGGGAGGAATATTCTGGGAGCTGCAAAAAGCATTGCATTGAGAATTGAAAACCCTGAAAGATTGAAATAAACAAGAAAGTATTAGTCACAGTTTAAGAAGCAGGCCAGTAATCAGGAGCTTTTTCTTTTACATTTGGTGTCAGAAGGATATGTAAGAGTACAACACATTACTACACGTCTCCATTTAAGAAAATGTGAGAGTTTGAATATTCAAGAAAACGCTGGCAACTCCTAGAAGTCCAAAGCTTATGATGAAAATATACAGGTAGCCCTTTGAAGAAATTCTTAATGTTAAAAGGCTTCCTCATTTCAGCTGCTATAATTTTTCCTTATTTCAGTCTTTGGTTTATTTGTTTCAGCTTTTTCCTCAAATTATACCTAGTAACAAGCAAGGGTAATGTAAATTTACATTCTGGAGAACTCAGATTAAGAGCAGGTGTGTTGCTGGAAGATGTACATTAACCAAGCTAGAGATAGTAAGCTGGTTGTAAAAACTTGGTCAAAGACAAACTGGGTACTGAGAGAAATCAAAGCTGGTAACATAATGGATCTAAGAAAGAGGTAACTGAAGACAAAGTGCATACAGAGGGTATGATAAGCACCTAAACATGTTTCAGCTTCTAACCTCAAAGAAATAAAAAATTGCACTCTCAGAAGTCTTTATTTTTTTTATTATTCATGCTTTTCTTAAAATTAAGGTACTTCTTGTTTTAAAAGAAATGTCTACTGCAATAAGAACATGAACTAAGCCTGCTATGTTGAGAAGTTAGAGCCACCTACAAAATGTAATACAATAAAAATGGCACATAGCCTAGGAGAAATTTTACTGACATGTGAAAATTCTGACAGAATTCTACTCCAAATAGGATTCTTGTTCAGTTTCTGCAATGAAGCGCAAGTCGACCAGAACTCTTGCTTGGAACTGCGATGATGCAGCACTTGGTTTCAGTCAAGTACTCTGGTATTAACTAATGGGCTCAAAAATTACTACAAATAAATAAAAAAAAAAATATATAAAAATAAAAAAAATAAAAAAGCACTAGAATATTTCAGCTGATTTACACAGAAATATATTCCTAAATAAAGATTTAAAACAAAACAAAAAGAAGTTTGCTTCTAAATCCAGGTTAACAGGGTAAAGCTAAAATAGCTCATTGAGAAGCATTTAAGCAAGATTTTAGAACTACAAATACAAAAATAAGTATACTAAAAATTGCAGACTTGCTAAGAAGGAGAAATTAGCAATGAATTAGTTTTATAAGCATGTAACATGAAGAATCCATTGAGTCATAATGCTACTGCAGCACATCCTGCCAACTGCTACAGAATTCCACAAGCTGAGTATTAACAGTATCAGAATTTAAATATTTAAGTGCTAATAAACTATTCAAGCAACATAACAGTATCATTTAAATGCTTGCATTTCATGATTTTGAAAATAGTTTTAAGTTTGTGATGGCTTTCTCATTAGGTCGTTGTCAATTCCAGTAATCAATGTGACTGTTAGAATGTATCTGCTATGCTATTTCAGCTGTTGAACACCTGAGAGGTAGAAGTATTATTTTACTGAAACTTTTAGCACAGAAAAAGAAGTTAGCAATAATAAAGATTCTAGAATCCCAATATAGAAGATTCCACACTACAAATAATCTTACCAGATTTCTCTCATAAAATGTTATTTTCTTGCTTTTTGTTGATTATATTAGAGACTGAGCTGTAAAGATGTCTTACCTTACTACAGGATCGCTTTCCAGTAACTCTGTGAGCCGCTGCAGTTGTTCAGGTTCAATGGATCGTCCCAGCAGGGCTTCAGTGTTAGTGTAGATTAGAAATGCTGACACAGTTCCTAACAAAGTTCCAACACCTAGAGACCCCACACTGTCATAATATGGGTTTCCTAAACAAGATACATCAAATTAGTTTCACAGAGCATTTCTAAAACATATTAGAGAATCCCAATTTCACCACTAAAAAGAGTACATAGTTTTGAGGGGTTTTCTGGGGTTTGCTTTTTAGTGAGATTTTTTTGGTTGGTGTTATTTTTTTTTGGTTTTTTTTAGATGGTCATTTATTTTACTTTTTTTTTTCTTAATTCAGTAGAAATTTTTTCCTACCAAGGAACATGATGACGCTGGAACAAAACAATTTATCATAAAGCAAAGCCGTAAGTCCCTCATGTCCCTTGACCACTCCTGTCTCCTGCAGAACTAATAAATGAGCAAATTCTTGTCCATATGTGTTTCTGTATGAGTAAACATAAATTTATACACGAAGTTCCATACACAGAAACATAGGCAGCAGCACAAAATCATGTTCTTTATCAGTAACTCAAAAATTTGCAAGTATTAACCATATCTAGAATACATTACTTATTAATAACTTATAAACACTTATGTTCAGACCTATAGAAATAGTACTGTGTTTTTAAGCTGATGAAGGAAACTAGAAATGAGATTTTAAAAAATTCTTCTATATAAAAAATTAAACTTGCAATTAAGTCATTAGAAGCCACAAGAAACAAAATTACAGTATTTATTCTCTTTAAAAAATCAATACTTAAAAAGGGATGAAAAAGTAATCACCACTCTGTAGAAAACTTAACTATGCAACAAAGACATACTTTGAAACACTTGGCATACAATTCACCTTACCTTTAGTAAAAAAATAACTTCGTTTGTATGACAAAATAGCTCCAAAATCTGCTTACATAGTGTAGAGACATATTTAAGTCAACCAATATAAACTAAATGCTCTGTGTTCGTATCATGCATGGGAAAAAATCCACATTCTGCCTGCCTCAGTGCAGAATATTACCTGTTAAAGAAGTCAGACCCATACAGGTAGCAGCTACAGCCACACTCAGAACTGCTGCAGCATCCTCCAGTAACACCACATTGGTACTTGGATCACGACTCTGCACAACTGCACACACAACAGAAACAAAGTTACATTGTTTGAAAGCTTAGCTTTACTACGTTATGCTCTGTACTTAAACTATACTAACAACAGCAATTTAAAAGAACAATTTATGCAATTGTATAATTGCATAAATTATAAACTGGTGTAAACTGAATTTTTGCATATGCTCACACTTCCATAAATGCATTTATACATACACAGTACCAGCCCAATTATGGAAGCTTCTCAAAAATGTCAGAAAAATTAAAAGGGCATTTATCCTGAAAAATACATGCACTTAGCCACCTATTTAAGTAGCTCTTAAATCAACAGTTTTCACCTAATTTGCAAAATGTTATTTGTTAGTAGACTAGAAAACAGATCAATAAAGGCAAGAGGAAAAGGAAAAATAGAAATTCTTTTCTATCATTATGCAAATGCTAGTGAACAGATTGTGTTTACTTACTGCTATAATGATACATACCATATTGATAAAATGAAAGACCCTTGGCTCGAGCACTCCTCCGAATTTCATTTATAGCAACAAGTAGGGTGGCTGAAACAACAAAATTGTTGCTGAAAATTGCTAGACGCAAAAAGACTTGTTTCTATTTTGAAAAGAGGGAACTTTTAATATCATAGGAACATATCATCAAGAAAGCTCTGATTATTGGTACTTTGAATAAAGTATAGTTGCTTTCTTTTCTACAAAGAATGTTTGTCATTTCCTACAAGAATGTCTCCCATACAAATCAGAAGAGCTGTATTCATTGATAGCTTTATATTCATTGATATCAAAAAGGCAATCCATGTCTACTTTCCAAATTATGTGTTCTTCAACTTCTTATTATATAGACGTATATAATAAAGAAAAATTTTCACTTTTCTTTTTGTTTGTTTACAGGTATTTGCAACAGAGCTCAAAACTTCACTGTGTAAACAAGGATTAATTATTACTGTAATTAATGACACTAATCTTAAGAGATTACAAATACTTAAGTAGAAACTTTAAAATGCATACCTCCTTCAGATACCAATGAACCTGCTAAAATGCAGTATGCCTGTATGGAAAAAAAGAAAGTATCAGATAGGATAGTATATTATGTTATATGCATATTTCTACAGATCTCTTCAACACAGGCTATCCAAACATCCATTCCACAGCCACACTGGCCACTGTGCTGTGTAACTGTCCCTAAACAGAAGGAAACCAATAATAATTGAATCATGCAATATATTCCAAAACAGGAAAGGAGGACCTATTGGATGAGGGGGGCGGGGGCGGGATATAAAAGGAAGATGCAGGGTTTAGAGAATAGGTCATTTTGCTGCAAGATCAACTGTAGTTTAAAGATTTTTTTATTTCTTAAAACATGTTTTCATTAAGAATGGTTTGAGTTAATTGTGTTGGAATTCAAACCAACTCAGGAAGTGAATTTCAGATTATGCCACAATTTTTTCTTAAGTTACTGGTGTTACTACAATACCAAATGAGATTAGCTTACCCAGAGAAGAGACTCTACAGGATGAGGGTGGAGTAAACCTATGATCCCATGATACCAAGAAAGTCCTGCACCCATCATGAAAATGCCTACTCCACTAATCAAGGAGGCAATATAGCGCATATTTGTGAAACCATACCTAGAAGAAAGAAAATTATTTTAGGAATACAAAATTCTACATCTCTACAAACAAATCTCAAAGAATGTCATTAATTTTGACATGTCTTAAATTATCATTATATGACATAGCATCTATTTAAGACAAAGCTGCAAAATCCAATCTAATCCAAGGGGAAAAAAAAAAAACTACTTGAAAAAAGGTATCTACTACATGCAAGGACATCAAGCATAAATGTTTTTCTAACTTGCTTTTAAACAGCTGTATTAGCTTTTGTACAATGACTGAAAAAAAAACCAAAACAGACAACATTTGTGTCACTTCTAGATTTTAGTGAAACGCTACTTCTAAATGAGGACTCTACTTCTGTGAGCAGCCAGTCTACATAATTCATAAAGCTAATTTAAAGGGAACAAAATTTATACATTTCCCAGTAGTTCAGCTAACTACAGACAATAAACACTTGCAGTTTCTAACTGCAATGAAGGAATTAAAGCAATATTTAAAGTTTATGTTTATTCCTTTTCTTTGGTTTTAATTCCATCTACAAACAGTGCATTTCTTTTGTCTATATTGAGGAAGAAAGGAAAGAAATGAGAGGGAGAAATGAGATATGATGAATTTTTCCACATATTTAAGCTTCTCAAATTTTAATTATGCTGTTAATGAAAAAAAAGCATAACAAATTCCATAAATTAGATGTATTTTTGATCTAGTGCTTAAAGAATGAATGGCTTGTCCAAACATAAGAGGAGTAAAACAGGTGAACACCAAGAAAATATCAGAAAATATTGAGCTTATAACTTTCATGAGCTTGTAAGAACTTACCAAGTAATATCCCTATTACTAGATACAAACAAAGAGCAGTTTATGTCAAACGCAATTACTTATGGTACGAGTAACTAGCTTGCATAAAAGCACTTTGTTGAGAAAAGGAAGAGAATAGTAATTTTTATTTTTAAAAAATCCTGTAATTCACATGAACAGTGTTTAAAAAGTAGATCTATTAGTTGGAAGAGGCAGAAGAGCCCAGAACAGCTTAGAGAAAAAACATCAGTTAAAATAAATTATAGCAAAAGTATACGGAAAAAAAAAAAAAAACCCAGCATATGCATCAAACCAAACATATGCACTGCAACTACAACTCCTGGAACTTTAAAGAAAACCCTTTTCTGATTTTATTTGTTGTAAAAACAAAAACAATACGTTTCAGAAATGATACAGAACAGCAAATTAAAAAGAACAAGGTGATGCACAAACAAGAACTGATCTTACTCCTATATATAGTTACCAAAATCTTTATTTACTCAAAAAGCTTACGGATGACTAGGGTCAGGTGTCCTTGCAGACTGACTGATGCCCAAAGCTAGCAACGCCTATATAAGACAGGAGGTTAAAAAAAAAAATTAGAAACATTTGGTATCAACTGAACTTGAAAGGTAAAGACAGATGTAATTTGTTGAACTGTATATATGCTTTGCTACAGATATCTTATTAGAGCTGGAATATAATCCTCAAAATTTGTCATCTGAATCTACCACTCCCAAAAAATTGCTAGTTATACCTATGTAGATAATATATATGCAATTATATGGTGTGTATATATAATTACTGTTAATTATAATTTTAGAATCTCAACTGAAAATGAACATTACATGCAATCACAAGTGTTGCTGCGCTTCAGCATGAAGGAATGAAGTTGCTCAGGGAACAAAGCTATTTAAATAATTCCCTCTTGAAGAGAAATTACACTGAGACTGTGGTATAGTATGGTGATGACAACATTTAAAGCAGTAACTTTACACTGCAACTTCTCAGCATATTTTGAAGGAAGAAATAACCCCTTGCTATCTAAATTGCCTATGTGGGATATATTTAATTAGGCATGTATTAAGTTGTTGATGCAGTAAATTGCAAATCTAGACCTGAATTTTGCAAAGCACATGTTTTGTTTAAGAGTACTGATAAGGAAACACAGTAACCAGTATTAAAATGCAGATACTTTAGTCTTAGCAGCAGCAGCATGCTGATTTGAGGCAGCAAGGTTTCTCCTGTGTTTTTTCCCTAAACCACACACACAATTATTTGAAAAAACAAAGCAAACCTTCCACATTTCAGTGGAACATTCAACTTTGCTATTTAAGAAACAGAATAGCTCTTCAATGTATATAATACCACTATCAAACTTGGTTCACCTATACATTGACACACTTGGCCAACTCACACTTTAAGGCTCCCCATAAATTTAAGAAGTATCAGTTGAATTAGAAGCACCCCTGTCATCACTTTACATCTGGAACAGCTGAAAGGTTGTGTGAAACCATCAAACAAAATGTGAGTTGTCAACTCAGTCTTTCTGGACAGCGAAGCATACTGGATCCAACTCAAAACTATATTAATAGACTTTTCAAGATATTCAGTCTGCTCTAAGGCTCCACAGACTCCTCAAATTTGGAGGAGCACAAGTCTGTTGCATTTTAATGAGTTGCAATCTACACAAGGGCTCCACTTGCTTGAGCTGCAGGAGCCTTTCCTTCAACCCTTTCTTTAGGTTGACTTTTCTCCCCCTGAAGCCTTGCAATATCAATTCAAGGTCTCATAACATAAGCTTCAAGCACACTGTAGAAAACAGTGGAAAAAACAACATTAATTTTATCCCTGCACATTAATATTACATGTCCAATTCTGAGCCTGCCAGTCCACTTCTCAAAGCAAACGTGCCACATATATGGCTACTTGTGCTGTGAGAGGCTGAAATCTAGGAATAGAAAAAGAAAAGATGCTCAGATTCTCTATTCATCTATATTCTTATTCATCTAGAGATGAGTAAGTAACAAAGTCTGTCATTGTATTAGAATAACTGACAGGAGAAGCATTTCAAGTTAACATTTAACCAAAATATTAGCCAAAATAATTTTAGTTTCAAGTACCACTCATGATCCATGAAGTAGCTGAGTACACTTCTCACTGCAACTCCCCTCTTTCAATTTATTTCTAAAAAACTTCAGTATCTACATTCTGACTTCTCATTTTTACATAAATACAAATTAAGAAGTATCCTATTATTTTTTTTAAGTGCTCTACAACTACTGTAAGTATCTGTCTTTATTTCCAGTTTTACTACAAGTACTACTTTTAGCAGAATGGAAAAAAATACTCACCTGGTTACATGTGTCTGCTAAAGAATGTATGGCTTCTGAAAACATACTTGCAGAACCCGTGTAAACCCAGGCAAGCAGCTTAAAGAAAAAATTCAACCCATTTCTGAAAACAAAGAGCAGAAATAACAGAATATTTGACATTTAATATTCCCAGAAAAACCAGAAGTGCTGTACAATCATGTGCTATCTGCCACAAAGGAGTAAACTCAAATATCAGTTTAATAATTAGAGAGCTGTGCAGACACACAATTCATAGAGATTTTCTGCACAGTTACTGTGAAAGAAGTCCTTTCAGCTAAACGTGATAAAGATACAGAATTTATTTTTTCAGAAATCATTAACTTCTAAGCACTCCCAAATAAGTTACACCTCCTGAAAACTACCATCACACTCACTACTCAGAAACATTAATTTTCTACCAGAGGCAGAATACAAGTGTTAACTTCCTTTTCTACTTTTTCAATTCTACACATCCTCACCCAATACTATAAGCAAGGTTCCTTACTTCAAACTCAGTCTGAGCCATCCTCAGCAGGATAGTTATGTGAGACAACAGGAAGACAAGGCTGTCACTACATTGCACTGTAAAAATTATCTATAGAACTTCTCCATTAAGATGACACACACAATTCTGTGTGAATTGTGAAGACATTTTTACAGCTGCAGGTTTACTGGAGTAAACATTGTCTTATGTTGCACAAAGGTAACTATTAACAACAAAATCCAAGTCTACGTTCTCATTTCAAACATTATCCAAATCAGTAGGTTTATTGCTACAAATAAATTGCACAGAGAATGAGACTAGAGAGTTATAATCTCCTCCTCTATCTTTTTTAACATGAGTTTAATTTATTGCCAATTTTTTAAGTATCTAAATAAATTAAGTGTTATAAGAAGTTATTAACATCTTCTAGGGGCATATTTTAACACGTGCAAGAGATTATATTCAAGTTAGAGGAAGTAAACCCAACAGATTCTGAGAAGGCAGTTAAAATCCTCTGATTTGGTTGGAAACAAAGTTACATTTTACATCAGTGACCACCATTTCAGAAAGTATTTCCTCTATTGCACTGGACTGAACTGACTAATTTAGCTACCTTATTGCTATCTGCATGGACCTGAAAGTAGGAAATCTTAACAGAACACAAAGTTATTAACACTGAGTGTTCCAGTGCAGCTGGTCTACACCCTCACACATGGATCCACAGAACAACTCTGCTTTTGACTGAATCACGTTTCATCCTCACAGAGGAAGTCTGAAGTTTGTTAAAAGTCTACCAAATAATTCTAACTGGAAAAGTTAAGACAGATTGATCCTCCTGGACACAAAGCCAAAAGCCATTAAAAAGACCATAAGCAAAGGAGCACTGATGGTGGCCTTGACTTAAATCTCTAAAAAGTCATCAGATATTTGAGTTCCAAGAGTAGCTTGAATTTCTTAAACAGCTCCACAAAAAGATGACTGAGCACCATAACTGTCCCTATAAACTTCTCCTGGCAAGCATTCATGTATAAAAAACACCCAATAATCAAAAGGTATTTATGAAAATAATGCAATGTTTACAGCAATGCTCTATCTACAAAGCAGAGGAAAGGTCTACTCTCTTACTCTCTCTGCAGGAGTGTAAGAAGCAGAAGGAGGTAGAAATGACCACAACACCCCCAGTCTTTTTTTTCCATTAGAAACATCCATGATAAAAATTCTTGAATTTTAAACTTAGAAGACTCTGAAGTTAGCAGAATATTCAGTAAAGAGGGAGGTTTTCAGTCAAATGAGCTTTGTATTTGTCTTCCCCAAATAAAAGAATACAGTTTTGCAGAAGCTCAAAGAGTTACTTCCTGCTCCAAATGTTTTGTTTCCTGGGCCAAAAAAAGTATTTTCCCCTTTCTATTATTTCTATTTCTTTCTATTATTTCTATTATTATTATAACTATTTCAGTTATATCAATAGTGTCTTAAAAAAATAAATAGCTTTAATAAAACAAGATGTATTTAAAAACTGCAAGGTTTCATAGCAAGTAATTTCCTGAGAGAAACTTAACACACTTCCTCCTATTTCATGCCAGAGAGTCTCTGTGATCATTTGCTTTACATCAGGACCATTGTTTCATTCAAACTTGTAAAATATGCAAAAGGTAAAAAACTCTAGAAACATCCCCTTTTCAATTAGAAAATAAATAACAGTATAAAGAGAAAAGTGAATCCTTTTCTGTTGTTTATATGGAAGATACTTTAAAATGTATGAAAAGCATACTCTCAAGAAGGAGCAAGAAAAAAGGACAACTTTAAATACCTCCTTCTTCAGGTCCTTCAAAATTTTAGTTTTTACTTTAAGAAACTGTATAATCTGATCAACTCCAAAAATGCTCTTCTCTCTTCAGAGATATATTCAATACTTGACCTCTATGTATTGATCAATCTATTCACATAAACTCTCTCCTATCAACAATAAACAGATAAATCTATTAACTTTAGTTACAGATACAGGTATCTTTATCTTAAATGCACACACTGTTCCTATTTCCAGGATAATATAAATAAATTGCTTTTTACTTGCATAAACAAATTTTTTTTCTTTTATTTTTTTTTTTACTTACATGCATATAGCTACCATTACCACCTTCCCTGGTCCCTTGAAAAACATAGCTGCTGTACTGGAGCGTGGCTACATAAAGAAATAACAGATTATTTAATAACTAAATCTTGATCTAATGAGACACCTACCATACAAATTATTAAATAAAAAAACTTTGCACTGCCTTGTATTGCAAAAGTTCTTGAAGGCAACTAATTTACTACTGAATGTTCAGCCAAATTGCAGGTGAGTCTTATGTATTTCTACAAATGGTTGGCTATTAAAATGATAAACATCCAGTGAGGTCTCCAGCAGAGGCCACTGCAGCCATAAAGCCCAGAGCCTGCTAAGGAATCATTCTGTACACCCAAGCACCTGGATCTAGGGTGTGTGTCTGCTTAAACAAAGAGGAAGGGCCAGCAGTGCATAGACAAAAGCATTAATCTTCTGGGGTCATTTTTCTTAAACTTACTTAGTTTTTAATTAACAATATATTCACTACATATAGTAATAGGCTATACTTGAAATCATGAGTACAGCTGCAATTTTGATAAGGCAACTGAAAAAAAGCCCTCTTACTGATGGATTACACTGTCACAGTAGGAACCCATTTAAGCTGTCATCATAACATTTACTACTGCACAACAATCAGATATAGATCTGGTATATTACAGTGCAAAAAAGTCTTCCAGCAATATTCAGTTACACAAATTTTCCTTCAAAAGGTATTATAACACATTTCATGACACTTTTCTAGCCAAACACTTGAAAATGTCCCTACCTTAGTATTTCCAAAGAACTCCTTGTATTCCCACAACAGCCTTTGATTTCTAAACAGATCTGCAGTACAAAATTCACATCATGAATATGTACTAGTAACCAGTAGTTTCAGGAATTGAAATCTACTTTTTTTATGCAGCAGTCAACTTCTAAAAAGAGCTACATGATCTATCTGTGAAAAAATTCCTCTCTTGATGTTAATCAGAAACACGTTGCTATACACTCATGCAAAATGCCAAATACACTCCGTTATGATCCTATACATTGTTACCATTTCTACCAACAAATGATAATGCACGGAGGGAAAAACTCAAAATACACTTCTGCAAATTCAGGCAGTAAAAATTAAAATTTTATTTTTATGCAAAAATTATTCTTCAGATCAATGAAAATTTTGAGACTCCTGACTGCACTTTTAGTACACTTACAGATACCTCAACAGGCATCTGCAATTCTAGCCTTTTTTGACAGAAGGGTGTTCTAGTGGTACAACTGTTTCAAAAAAAAAAGTGACCACTCATTTTAAGTGCACAACTGGACTAAATACCTTGCAGCAGCATTGCCTCCTGTGTGATTTTAAGTGACTAGACAGATCCAAATACTTTACAAACTACTGATTTGGCAATATATGTTATTGATAATGCCAGCAATGATAACAAAAATATTACACAAAAAAATAAAAAAATAAAAAAAAATAGGGGGTACACTTCTCCCCTTCTGAAACACAAAGGCAAGCTGAATTCTTTTCAGAGGAAGGAAAAAAAAATAATGAGTAGCAGCATGGTATGAAGATTTGGATCAGTTCTAACTCTTTTCAAAATTCTCAATTAGAAAATATGGAAAAGCACTGAAAATGTAAATGTTATCATTTAAAACTGAAAGCCGTCCCCAAAACAGTATTACTATGGACCTCCATTGAATGTATGTTCTTGCTGTATCACAAAGATGATGAACTGAAGATAGTAACAGACTGTATCTGCATTGATAGTAACATTTTACTCTAAGATTATGGCAAGAAACCTCGTCAGCAATTGCTAGTTCCAATTTTACATGTTTTCAATAAAGGATCACTATCTTGTGGATTTCTAACAATCATACTTTCTTGCTGCATTTCAAGGTATTTGAAAACTGTACTCACTTTCTCTGTACTTGATCTCTGCCTCTTTACGTCGCTTTTTTTCTCTGGCAAGAGCCTCTGGACTACCCCAAACTTCAAGAGACCTGCATGAAGTAAAAGTAAATTAACAATGTTTCTATTCATGCAACTTTTTTTTCAAGCACAAAACCATATGCTCCCATTTTATAAACACCATCTAATTATAATAATCAAGATATAAAACATGTTTGGATAGAAAATGGAAAACATTATTGCCCTTTTACAATGCAAACCTGACTTTTAAAACTGTTCTCTCATATCAGCCCTCTTGAATGTTCTTACTTTGCCTCTACATCCGATCTCAGGTACACCGTGAAAGTCTCAGTGTCATCATGGGGACTTCGGCGCTTAATTTTTCTCAGCTGGTCTAAATCACTAAGGAAAGTGAACAAAGTGTTTAGTGTAAGAAAAGGATCATATTGTTATACTTTGACTTTTATGTCTGGGTGATGATCCACAGTTTTGATATAACTAATTTGTTGTACAAAAAACATGAAGTTGTCTACTTCAAACAGAACAGACAAACATGAAGTAAGCGATCTCTAGCAGGCTATTGAAAACTACTGTTTTTCACATCCAAATGTCTAAATCACGTCCTCATACTATGAAATGCTACTCACAGAAGACAAAGTATTAAAATACTAAATAATAAAACATCCAATGAATGATCTGTATGTAACTGATAATGTGCACATATGCTAAACAAGTGGCTTTATGAATTAGCCTCCCTAAATGGAAATCAGACGGCATGTGACAAGAAAATTTAAAAAATTTAATCACAAAATTTACACTCCCAGCACAAGCTGCAAAAGGCTGAAGATAACAAAGTTGCTTGGGAAACAGATAAAGTTTCCTGTGCTGAGCTACACATTAGGGCACCTACACCATTATGCAAAAGCAGGAGGAACAGAAGTGTCTTCCCCCAACTAGATTTATAGTCTCATAAGTATAAATAAACCACTTTAAGAAGCAAGTACTGAAACATGAAAATTTAGTGCACGCTCCTTGTCCACTGCAAAACTAAGCAAGAACTAACTTCAGCCCCTTACAATTATGTACACTGCAAAAGCATTTAGTAAAAGTTTTTGTGCAAAATCACTCTACAATCACAACTCCTTCTCATGCATATATGAGCAAATATTCAGAATTTAAATCTCAACTCAAACCCATCATACCTGGATTTAAGACAAAACTCATTTATTGCTCTGACTCCAGTGATGAAGTTATTCTGTGTGTATTTTGGTCCATACTCTCTTTTTTTAAGGACTGCTTTCACTTGAAAAAAAAGCATAGATACACAAGTTAAGTCACTCATAGAGACTACAGAAGAAACTTCAAAAAGTAATTCAATCTAGTGTCATATTGATATCTCTTAGTCAAAATCTGAAAAACAATGATTGTCAGTGACAGAGAATATTGTCAGTGAAGAGAAAGGTATTTCTCATTATGGAAATGAGCAAGATTTGAATGATTTACCCCCAAAAATGCTACTTACTAAACTGTATTTCAGGGTTCTCAAACCTAACTGCCACAGTCACCTACCTCTCCAGCTTTGATGTCAGAGATGGTGCTTGGCTATATGCAATATGCCATATTACACATGCCATATGTAACAGCATTCAAATATGACCATTTGGAAACCCTTGGTCTAACAACTGAAATAGCAACAGACTGCTACGTTTCTATTTTTTCCAATAATCAAGTACACCTTCTACAGATAAGATTTTTGAACTCTGCAGAGCATACAGAGAAATGAGACAGACTGTATACATCATTTTTCTCAACAGTTACATTCAAAATTAGTACTCCTAACATTGGGCATTTCTAGAAATTAAAAACATAAATTCTTTATTTATAATGCTTTTTATATCTGGAAGATGTACTCTTATCACATCAGATTTTCATGCACAAGGAAAAGAGCACCATACATATTCAGAAAAATTATAAATGGAATTTTAAATTTATGCCATTATTTCCTGCTTATCTGTACATACATAACTTCACCTTATTCTCAAATGTAAAATACTGTACACTAACATGCATTAAAAACATGTTTATTGGAAGAACAGTTACATTCAGAAGGATGTAACACAACTAACACTGTAATGTAATCTACATTACAGAATACAGCTTAAAACAAAAAGCTCAGATTCTACTGTTGAGGAGACTTTAGAGCACACATGACCTCCTTGCGAATCATGGGACTCATATAATTTCTATAGCTGGTCCAGAGCTACTCCTTAAGTCACAAGATACTTACAGAAAGATACTGCTTTTGAAGACTCTGAGAAAATTTTTCCCAGAGTTCTACACTGTCTTATTTCTGTGTTTTGAAGTTTAATAGCAAAATACATTGCTTGTCTCTCCATGACACACTAACAGCACAGGTATCAATATTTATCATAATAATCTGATTTCTTTCATCCACTTTGAACTTGGAACAATTTTTTAAGTCTCTGAACAATCATATTCATCCCACAAAGCTCCTAAGTGAAGGTGATGAAAAAAACTTCATATACTTCCCAAAAACAGTACACCGTTTACTACGGTTAGAACAGGTTGATAATTTTTCATCAAGAACACTTCCCATCATTTATTTAAAACAAATATACACCCAAATCATATTAACCTTACTAAAAAATAATTTATGGATTTATCAAACACTTACTAATTCATCTTTCACAATACAGGTACATTTCACTAAAATAAATCATATATTGTACACTATATATATTGTACTGTTATTATATATGTTAATGTAATTATGCATTATGCATAATAACATAATTATATATGTATTATGTAATTATATGTGCATATTGTACAGTATCTCAACAATCCTATTCCTAGTTCAAGTAACTGTATAAAACTGTAGTAAATTTGAAGTAAAAAAAAAAATAAAACGCTTTAAAAAGCACATTTTTTTTAAGACTAGTAAGCCTTGGAAAATGCTACTGTCTTTGCAGTACTTAGTAATACTTGGATTAGTACGTTTCTAAGTCAGAGCAGCATTTTAAGATTAGAATTCCACTTTCTAGACACTAACAAAATCCTTAACATAAACATTTCCCCTTGCACATCTTTAATTAAGGGAGGGAAAACTTTTACATACTTTCACAATTATTTCACAGAATTTTTTCCTATCTACCTTGCATTTTCTCCCTCCACACATACACTAAGAGATAATAAATCTAAAGAAATGGACGTCCACTTGCTCCACTAGGGATGAGAAGGTAGAGAAAAGCAGGAGATTAAACCTGGGAAGAAGTGAAGGATTAGAAGAAGGTGTTTTAAGATTTAGTTTCTATTTCTCAGTACTGTAGTCTGATTTGACTGGCAATAAAATAACTGATTTTCCCCAAGTCCAATCTGTTTTGCCCATGACAGTAATCAGTGAGTGAGCTCTCCCTGTCCTTAACTCAGAAGCCTTTCATTAGATTTTTTTCTACCTTATCCAACTAAGAGGAGGAGTGATAGACCAGCTTGAATGGGCACCTGGTGTCCAGCCAGTGTCAAGCCCACATGACTACACACAATTTTACAGAACTCAGATTGAACAGTTCATGTCATCAAAATATATTTAGAAGCAACACTGATTAGATTAACTCAGTAATAAGAAAGAACAGAGGAAGACTTAGAACAAGGAAGAGGGAAGATCAAGTATTCAGCTTAGCCATATTATGTCTGAGAGGGGAATGGATGTGCCTAAAAACACACAAGGAGGACAATCTGCAACAACATTTGAAAAAACAAATCAGTCTTTTCCTGATGAATTTTGAAGCTTAAAGGAAAATTAAACAAGCACAGAAGAGTGAGTAATTAGAAGGAATACTGCCATGTTTGATTTTTTAGGAATAGTCTTAAAACAAACAGTACCAAACAAAGCTGGCACACAAATGTGTTTCTAAAATGCTATTCACATACTTGCTCACACAATTGAAGAGAAGCCAGAGTTTCCTTACACTTCATTTTTTTTCTTTTGACTACTAGCAAACAGCAGTAAGTTCCAATACACTAAGTATTTCCTTACCTTTTACTTGGATTGGCTGTTTAGCTGAAGACTGCTTTTGGCCTGCATTGGTTGTATCTTGTCCTGTAAAATAAAATTAAAATTCATTGTAAATATGGAAGTACCTAATTTTCTTTTTAGTAAAGAGTTTGACTGACATAACCTTGGAAGAGATCTTAATATTGCATTGCACCCAGACAATTAGAAAATATATTTACCAGATTTCTAACCTTTAAAACTCTCAAGAGACAGAAACAAAAAAAAAAAATAATAATTTTAGGGACAAGTTTTATGCAAATCTTTAAATATAATTAATTCTAAATGGCTTATGGCTGCTATGTATCAGAGTGTTTCAAAGCTCCCAAGCTGGGATTCAATTTTAAGGGATGGAAGCTTCTTCATTTACAAAACGTTTGCCCCTTAAAACACAGAATATTAAAACTAAAATCCACAACTCATGTAACAATCTCGAGCTGGAACAAAACCAAATTCTTTTAGCTGATTTTCAAACTTGAGGATATGGTTCTATTAAAAAAAACAGCACAAAATATAATTTACAATAGTAAAATGAATCTTAATATTTGAAAAACTATAAATTCCAGTAATTTTAGTGAGATTTCTGCTTAGAAAACGGAAGTACTACTTGAAAATTCAAACACACGTTGCATTCTTCTCTCATACATAACCTTCAGAATAAAAACCTTATGGTTCTAACATGTCAAACCAACATACCCACTCTTTTGTGCCCTACCACTCTATAACTTCGGAGGTTTGCCACACATTCGTAATCATTCACAAAATTAAGAATTATTTTATTGGAAGTGATATATTAAAAAAAAAAAAAAGATTTTATTTTAGCAGGTTAGTGTTACATAATGAGGTACTCCTAGCCTAACAAGGTACATAAATACTTAAAGATCAGATTCTCCTGAAGTTTGAACTACATAACTATGTTTCAAACAGGCAGTTAGTTAATGCCCTAAAAGCAACTGAGAACTACAGCCAATTCAAAGATACTTTCTTGGAAAAATAACACTTATAAATTTATGAAGCTGACCTTACTACACAGCAATTAAGGTTGCACCATAACTAGCATTCCTTAAACAGTCATCCCTTTCACTTGAAAACAAAAGAAACAAAATAAACAAAATCCCTCTGTTGTTCCTTTCTTTTCTTACCTGGTTTAAAATGCTAAGCAGCTGATCTATTAATATTCATGATAAAAAACTTCTGCTAAGAGTGCTTCGCAAACACTGAGTAGCAGCTTCCTTTCAAAATGTACAACTATTTATGTCATCAAAAGAAATATCACAAACACTATTTAACAAAAGATTGAGTCACAAGACTTCAGGGGGTATGGGATGGCTGAAGACAAAAATACCATGATTATATCCATGAACAAAGATCTATGTACATCAAGCACCCTTTCAAAGTTTACTACCTCACCTTAGAGTCAACACATAATTACAGTGCATCACTGAGGAAAAAGGATACAGAATATTTTCATTCCCACTCACTGTTTTTCAGACAAGTAGATGTTGATATGGTAGCTTTCAAGACTGAACAATGTTTAAGAGTCACTTTTGTACTTCCAAATATCAGAATGTAATCCTCTTAGCTGGCTACAGTTACTCATTTTTAAAGACTGTTGCAAGCCCCAGGAATTTATAAATTACTAAAGAAGGAACTAATATCTGCTATCCTGACCAGAAAAAGGAAATTTTCTTAGAAGACCACTCCATTGTAGACAAAAGCACAAAGAAAGAGAGCTTTCATTTTGAAAAGCATCTGTTATCGCTTAAGCACAGTCTTCTGAGCCTGTATCTGTGCAGTCCCACAGTTAATAAGCACCAAAATCAGAGGATGTTACAATGGAGCAAGGACAAGACGGTTCTGAATTTCACAAGCACCTAACAAGCACAAGATTGACAATCTAACAGCAGGAAGGGTCAGGTTACGCACACTGTATCAAATGTGTAATGTGAATGCTGCAGTTCTAACAACTGTCAGATTAGAAAGCTCCAGCAGATGAAACAGCTCAACCTTCTTTACTGGTCATTTATAGCCTGGCTTTGAGATGCCACAATGCTTAGTAGTGGCACTCATTCAGTCTTTATCATTAATTCCTTTGACACAACACACCAGAAATGCTACCAAAAAAAACCAAATAAACAAGTAAAGTTTGAAAGATGAGTAATACATTCTATTTCTTATGCCTTAAACTACTTAATCACTTTCAGAATCCACATTTTTTCCATCACCACTTTAAATTTGATTACTCTAAACTTAAACCTTTAAAATATCAGAATGACAAAGAAATAAATTTCAGCATTCCTCCCTGCTTATGCATTTGAATTTGCTATATAAATGCCCACAACCAAAAATACCAAGAGTTTTGTAATTGTAATATCATACAATTGGGAAAAAAAAACAAAAAAATATCAGTAAATATATTAAGCTTTTACATTTTTAGAAATACTCTTTATTGTAGCTTAGTACTACCTGTTTCAGTTTTTTGCAGGGTTTCTCCACGGGCTGATCCATTTTTATCTTCTGATCCAAGATCTTTCTTCTGACCATTGGAGGTATAAACTCTCACTTGACTCACCAACTGCACAGGCAGGCGATTACACGGTAGAATATAGTTTAGGTTCCCACTTTTCACTGAAACTTGCCATCCTAGCAAGTGGAAGAAAAAAAAGCTGTTTCAGGCAGCCATTTTGGAAGGAAAAAGAAGGGAAAGCAGTCCTGCTCTGACAGCATAAGTTATGGAAAGTTAGCTTGTAAGTACTGACTCGTGCTTATTTTACCCGTATTTATGAACTACAAAATGAGACTACATAGCATGCTTTCACTACCTCCCTTTAAACACCCACTTTTAAATTTCATTCCAATATTAGGGGAATTTTCCCACACTCCAATATGCATTTTCCCCAGAGACCTCTGGATGATCTTCAGGGTTAAAAAAAACAAAACAAAACCAAAGCCATCTGACAAGACAGACTTTCTGATACATTAATTCGTTCCTAATTCATCAATTCAATTCTCATTCTAGTCATACTGCCTCCAAGTCTTTAAAAACCATATATTGATAAAAAAACAAATACAGACCACTACAAAACTATTAGCCAGTGTTGCCACTGCATTTCACTCTGTGCACACCGTACAAATCGCAGCTTACCAATGAAGAAAAACTGAACTATGTGTAAATTATACAGTTGCTACATAAATCATGTAGAAAAGCACACATTGTAAAAAACATTTTATAGTGAAGCATCTTAAATTTTGCAGCATTCACAACAGACAAATTGCAAGATAAATATGCAAAAAGTCCATTGAGAAACCACCCTGGGTAGGCAATCTTCTGTTTCAAAAGATTAACCAAAAGCAGAGTTGCAGTACAGACCAACCTGTATTAGCAATCAGTTTCTTTTAGGGACCACAACACTTTTGTAGAGAGGGTAAATAACACCTCCAACCAGAAATGCAGCAGGGAAACTGGCTGCTTTGGAAAGCACTCACTAAAAAAAAATACATTTTTTAAAATAATTAAGAGTTGCCAATAAATAAAGTCATACAAAATATGATCACTTAACTATGAATAATACAGCTCTCACCAAAAAAAAGATAATATTTTACAGAACTGTCCATTCGTAGAAGACTCAACAGCTTTCCTTTTTTCTTTAGCCTTCTGCACACTTGCATGTCTACATGTACCGACCTGAACTTTACTGAAGGAAAAATTTCCCCAAAAGAGAACAGCTCTTACTGACAGCTGTCGCAATGTGACAAAAGCCCTTAATACCGAACTCAACACAGCTCACTGAACTCACTAGTCACTAATTTATAAAACACGATAAATACGTGGCAGCAGATGAGCAGTGTTGTTTCCTAAGCTTTGGGGATACTGGAGCAGTTGAAAAGGGGAAACTTAATCTAGAGGGAAAGTTAATTTAGAGGGCATTTTCCCTCCTAATTCATGCACATACAAGAAGCCGTTAAAGAGCATTTGCTGCAACTTAACCGTGACTACACGAAAAGGGGAAAAACTGCTCAGAATTCAAATTCTATGAGAACTGTGGCCTAAAGGAAAAGCTCGCTCCTCAATCCAACACAAGCCCTGTAAAACCGCGCTACGTTTTATGCAATTACTGCAAACTTCGGGCCCGGCATGGGCATGACGCGCCTGCTTTACGTCAGGCGGGGCTGGCAGAGCCCGCCCGAGGACACCCCGGCCCCGCACTGCGCTCACAAAACACTTGCACGTTTTCCTTCTTTTTACAGCCGACCCTCAGAAAGCAGCCGGCGCTCCCGCCTCGGGAGGGACCCCGGCTGCCACCACCGCCTGCGAGCGCCGGCACTCGCCGTGTCCCAGGCAAACGCGGAGCTCCGTCCCAGCTCCTTACGAGCCGCGGCCGGCGCGGTGCGGCGGCCCGGGCCCCGCAGGACTCACCGTGGCAGGCGCGGGGCCGCGGCGCCGCCTGGCACCGTAGGTACAGGCGGTAGAGGCCACGGCAGCCCCGCCGCTGGGCGGCCAGGGCCGGCATCATGGCGGCGGCCGCTCGGCAGCGGCCGGCGGGCGGGCGGCGACTCGCATCGGCGGAGGCCGGCGCGGCTGCGGCGGAGCCCCGCTGGCCCCGGGCGGCGGCGGTGGCCGGAGGCCGGCGGTGGGCGGCGCCGCGGCACCCGGATGTGCGGGGGCACCGCCGGGCCGCCGCTGACTCACCCGCCCCGCCCGCCGCGCCTGCGCCGCCGCCGCGCCTGGCCCGAGGAGCGGGGCGGCTTCGCCCAGGGCTGGCGCTAGGGAGCGGCCCGGCCCCGGCGGAGGGCCCGGCCCCGGCGGAGGGCCCGGCCCCGGCGGAGGGCCCGGCCCCGGCGGAGGGCCCGGCCCCGGCGGGGGGCCCGGCCCCGGCGGAGGGCCCGGCCCCGGCGGAGGGCCCGGCCCCGGCTGCAGCACCTGCTCTGTTAGCAGCAGATTAATACATACGGGTACGTGTAACAAACGTACGTGCGTTAAGTTTCTTAGCACATGTGAAAACACATTAGAGAATTTTTTAATAGGGTCACAGAAATAATTAGGTTGAAAAGACCTCCGAGATCATCGAGTTCAACCTATGACCGAACACCACCTTGTCGATTAGACCATGGCACTATGAGCCACAGCCAGTCTTTTCTTGAGCACCTCCAGGGACGGTGGCTCCACCACCTGTCTGGACCGCCCATTCCAATGTCTAATGACCCTTTCTTTCTCTGAAGAAATTCTTCCTGATGTCAAATCTAAGCTTCCCCTGGCACAGCTTGACTGTCTTCTCGTCCTGTCGCTCATTACCTGGGAGAAGAGGCCGACCCCCACCTGGCTAAAACCTCCTTTCAGGCAGTTGTAGGGAATGATAAGGTCTCCCCTGAGCCTCCTTTTCTCCCCAGCTCCTTCAAAAACACCCCACAACACTTGTGGTCCAGACCCTTCACGAGCTTCAGTGCCTTTCCCTGGAAATAGATAACGTTAAAGCATGTATTCTAAATCTGTTTGCATTATTTCTATACGAAAATATAGAAATTAGGCTCCACTAGCCTAAGCCATCCCCTAAAATGCGCTTCCCACATCAGTGCTGATAAAATAAGATTTTAAATGATGTCTTCCTTCAAGGAGAGTGCCATGTGGCTGATCCTGTGCTCCAGGGTTGTAAGGGCTGCCTGTACCCAGCTGTGACTCCTCCTGCCATACTCGCCTAGAGCCTGGCTCAGGACCATGCCTGTAATCAGTCCCACTGGCACTGTATTGCTCTTCTTTACAAAAGTTGTTTTTTTTTTTTCCAGTATAGCTTTGATACTTGTTTACATGACTGAGAAAATGTCTCAAGCTTCCTTGTCTTCCTTTGCACACTGGGAGGAACAAGGGAGCTCACCAGAAGTTAGCTTTACAGGGAATTTGGATAATTAATGTACCTGATAATCCACAAAGCATTTGATCATTGAGGAGAGTTATTATGGTGCCTGTCTTTAACATACATAATTAGATTTTAAAACAAAGTTTGCTGGCACATCTTTACCAGCTACCTAGTGAGCAGCATTGCCAAAACAAGTTTTCCTTGAAGCCCAGGGGAGGCAGATTGAAGTAAAATACTTCCACAGAATAATTAACACTCGTCTTCCCAGTAGTACAACTGCAGCCATACCAAATGAATCAGGAGTATTGCAGCAGATGCTGTATCATTAAGCACCAGATGTACAGCACTGAAGTTAAATACTAAATTGACTGCAAGTTGTAAAGTAGCACAGGTGAGGTCATTTCACCAATTTCAGTTGGAGTCTAACATGCAGCTGATGTATGTTTTGCTGGCTGCTTATTATTTTGGCAAGAGCCTAACAGTAAAAAACAAAACAAAGAAGTTAAGTTCCCTGTTTTTTTCCCCTGTGTAAAGATGTTTGAAAGCATATAGGAATTCTTGAAACATTTGTACCTCAAGAGTTGCTGCTATACTCTAGAAGAGATACTAAGTTTAGGTTTATTGTTTCCTCTCTAAAACCAACTCGAACCACTAACTATTTCACATTCTTTTATCCATCTGATTAACTGAATTCGTTTTCTCTGGTTTTGGCATTGAAAATATGAAACTGGAAGGAAAATAATAAAACTGGAATATGCTAGACAGATTAATAGATACTAACAATGTGGTGGTCAACCAGGATTCACAAAATCAGCTGCTGTGCATGACCCTTTATATTGACAAACACTGAAAACTGATGGAGACAAAGAGCGGGTAAAAGAGCATCAATAACAGCTTATTCTGCATGGGATAGCCAAGTACATAAAGCAATGGATAATGAATTACCAAGACTCCTGGCATGCAGCTGCAGCATCCTAAGAAAAAAAAATATCAGCCTTATTTATAAGCATCTCAACCGTTAGTTATCAATCACTAGCAATCAACAGAGAAACATCCTAAATTATATGGTATTTCAGGACATCCAAATTGGCTACTTTAAGCCTGTATTTCCTAAAATCAAGCTAGTAAAAAAAAAAAATTTAAATAGGTAAAATTTCATTCACATTCAAGTAGCTGAATGCTAAACTGATAAAAAATATTATTTCTACATACCATGCTTCTACATGGGCTTTTGTGCCATCTGAACCTCTGTCTAGGAGACCAATTGTGTGAAGATCTTGGTATGTTGCTCATAAGAGGGGGGAGACATGCTACCATGTCAGTCATTTCCTCAGGCCTCCTTTTGCAAAAACTCTAGAACCCTTTTTTATTCAGCATATTACCTTGCCTACAAAAATTATAAGGTTGCCTTACCAGGTCTTCAGGAAGAACAGGAACTATGTTTACAACCTTTTAAGATTTAGAACCTGTTTTATGGAGACACTTGAAAAGTTTACATAGAACTGCTTGTAGATCAAGAAAGAAAGGTGACTGGATTGAAATACAGGCCTTTGAAAACTTTTTTTCCTCTTTCCTGTTTATTTAAAATAACTCAGTAACTGACTGTATTACTCAAGCTACAATAGTGCATCATGATGAAACTCTCCAGTAGAACTATCTAGAAAGAAATATGTGATATGTAAAGGCTAATAAGAAAGTAGGGATTTTAGTGTTCTTTGTATGAAAAGTGAAGTAATATTAAGCCAATCAAACTCATTAAATATTCCAAGTTCATACAGTGGATGGAAACTTGCAATGTCCCCAGATCTACCAGAAGAGCTGATGGTATTGACTATATTAATATAGTTTAAATTATTCTTCAGGATTCCCATCATATCCTGCCTTATAGGTCTCTCATACACCGTAGTGAGGGGGGAAGAACTTTTGATTTTTGTACCTTTTATGATCCTACACATATACAGTTAACACAAAGCAGCTACATACCAATAGTACAAAAAAAAATGTGAATAAATGAAGGGTCCAGTGACCCCAAACTGCCTTTAAGATGTTCAGGAGAATCATTTACATTCACAGAAAATAATACAGTATTTCATGGTGGGCAGGTACACAAGAGGAATGACTCTTCCAAAGCATGGAATGGTGAATCTTCAGAAGCTTGCATAACACCACTCTGAGTCATGCCAGTCTGTAAAGCTATTTCATGGTCACTGGGTCAAAGATCTACATAAACTAAAAGTAAATATTTTCATTTCCAGCACATGGGTAAGTGTTTTCAGTTATTCACACGCAGTTCATTCACCTGAACATCAGCAGTCATCTGCATTTTTTAAACTGGGGGCAGCAGTCCTCAACAAGCAGCAGCAGCTTTGACTGCCAAAGGACAATAAATCATGAAAAGGCATTATTCTCCTGAGAAATTTAAATGGAAAATTACTTTCCTGTAGCAAACAGACTCGGCAGAAGCACATTACATTACTAGAATTTTTAGCTTCATAGTTGCAAATCAGCCACTAGAGGTCAGTGGTTTGGAATAAAATTAGCACATGGAGAGAGAATTCAATTTCATTTCATATGGTCAAATCATAAATCAAATAAAATTCCCAGCCTCTGAGTAAGGAAAAAGGACTCTTAAGGTTAGCAGCACTTACCTTCATCCAAAAGCAAGAAAGCTAGCTTAAAATTCTTAAAAACAATACTAGGTACATAATCCGTAAAGTACTGAAACAACTCTACTGTAATATACAGACATATAAGAACACAGGACTGGAGAAAGCTTCTTGCATCATCAGCTCCAGTCTCTTGCTACTCCACTAGTCCTATAATTTCTCACATGAATCAAGCAAGGACCAGCTCAAATGTAGCTTGATTCTTTTGCTCATAAGAAAAAAACCCAAGAATTACAAGAATGTGAAATAAGCTCAATTAGTACTTTTGAAGTGCACAAAGGCATTATATTAGAAACACCTGTGCAGTGCAGGAATCTTCTTTAACAACTATTTCCCTTACAAATGTGTAACACTCTGCAAAGAGAGAAGGCTGCCAGAGGACAGGAAGAGGCTGTTTCATCATGAAGTGTGAAGTGTATTACCATTTCCAAAAAGGGGAAAAAACGCCTCAAAGTATTACATCTTATTTAGTAATTTATCAACTGCTCCAACTATATATACACATGATCCATTCACAATACATCCATATTAATGCAACTGAATGTCTTGCCTCTGCCCCAGAGTGATGGTAAAAAATTTGAAATAATTAGAAATATGAATAGAGCCATTGGATGCTAAAACACATGCACGCTGAACTTGATGCTTGTTGCTGTAGTTTTCTAAGGTTTCAATATTCCTCCGTATTATACTTACACAGTTGAAAATGCCACTAGACATATGAAATGTCAGAAAGTCAACCTCAGATTTCCATGTACCATTACAAAAGCTTTTCATTCATGGCTTTGATTTAAACTTTATCACTGAAAGGATTCACAATTATTTTTGTTGTGCTTTTGTCAGAATCTAACTGAAGTTGTTGAAAGGGATTGTAGTATGGAGATACTTGTTTGGTGAGATTTTCTAGATTAAAAAAAATTAAAAAATATTAAAAAAAATACTAAGTTACAAATATCATGTTCTAAGCAAACACACATCAGGACAAAGCCTCACGAG